GGCGGTGACGGGGTTTGGGAAACTGCACGAGCCGTGACCCTGCTTTCATCGAGAGGCTGGCCATGCTCCTTGCCTAAGCATATGAACCATGAGTGCTCGTCAAATCAGGATATCAAGGCAGAGAGACCGACGTGTTCGAAGTTGAATTTGCAAGCTCGGCCCTGACGGTTTCGTTGGGGGGGCAGTTGCGGACATATCCGCGGAGACGTCACCAAGAGGGTGAACAATGAAGTGTGTCTGCGCAAAGTCAGAAATAGCGCAAAGTAAGGAATAGAGCGTGACGACGAGACCATCTCAGGTGTTGGGGCTTCCGTGGAGGTGGGTGAAGGAATGAAGGGCGCGATGTCGCGGACATCAAATTGGTCATAACGAATTGGCGCGCCGGTAGAGCTACCAGTCACCATGGCCTGCCCAATGGCGGTGGCTCCAGAGAGGTCCGTAGGCGTCGGGAAGTTGATCAGGTGCCGTCGATACTAGGACGAATCAGCAGCAGTCCAATACGGTTCAAGACGATGTATATACCATTTTCTGGGACCACGTCCGCGGCCAGTGCGAGGGCACAGCATCGCGAAACACTTTCTCCCAATACATCCAAGCCAGTGTCTCGCTCTCACATCGAATCGCGAAGGCGTCGGGAATGTTGCGGGTATACAGATCGGCGTCTTGTTCGGTGCACGGACCTGGATGCCATCCCCGCACAACCAGCCAGTTCTTTGCTGAAGCCATGAGTGCCCGGGTATTCGAAATAAGACGAAAAATCGCAAAAATGACGACGCCGGAAGCCACAGTAGTCGGCAGTCGCCAGGCGCGGACAAAGACGAGAGTCGAGATCAAGAATGCGCAAAAGGTGAAAAAATCGAACACCGAGTGTAGATTACCAAAGCGACGAGCACGCAGCGTGCGGTCACATGAAGTATTCGCAGGAACACTTATGCATGGAGTCTGGAGGACGGCGGGGCGCCAATCAGCACATTGTCGAGTGGGAAGCATAGGTCCCGAGTTACGAACA